ACACACACACACACACACACACACACACACACACACACACACACACAACTCACTCTGGTGTTTTGACCAGCAGCTTGCGGACAAAGTCCACGGCCAGCTCAGACACCCTGGAGAAGGCCTCCCTGCTGTAGTCCACGTTGACCTGGGACACGTTCAGATACGTCTCCTGCTTGTCGTCCCCGGCGAACGGAGACTCGCCCGTCACCAGCATGTAGGCTATGACACCCACACTCCTGAGGAACACACACACATGCACGAGGAACAAAGTCAAAACATGCACAGGGGCATCTGAGGGCTGAATACCAGAGGGCACACTTGGGTGACTGATTTAGAAAAATATTTTAAAAAAAAGAAGAAAATAAATCATTTTCATAATGTTGGCAACCACAAAAGTGAGAACACACGAGAAGATTACAATAATTACCCAAAGTGTAAACAGCTATTAGCATTTGCAGACCTACTCTGTGGTCTGTGGCTCTCCTCCCTTTTCATTTACAAATCGTTTGGCTTTAGAGTTACAGCGACACAAACGACGGTCAACACGCGACACCTTATCTTTCAAATCGCCACAACAGCAGTTTTGGAAGAATGGACTCACCACAGGTCAGTCGCTGTCGTGATTGGCTCATAATTCAGGATCTCAGGCGCTGAGTGAGGACATGAAAGAAAAAGTCAGTTACTCAATCTCACAAGAATGTTGTCATTTCCTGTATCATTTCATACCTCGGGTTGTTTTATTTCACCACTACTGACGTTTCACGTTTCTGTTGTGTCTTTATTTACTGTGTTATTTGTAGTAAATTACTTTTTTTAAGAGTAAAATGTACACAGGAAGTGTGTGACAGCAGAGTTGTACTCTGATCTCTATCCACAAGTGTGGTGAATCATGCTAAAGCTACGAATTTCTCAGTATCCATAAACTACTTATCATTTGTGAGAGTTTCACCTCGGAGACCTACAAAGGCGTCTATCAGCATTACACGAGACAGGTCACTGAAACGTGGTCATGCTGGTGATGCCTGAAGTGTTTAGAGTAATCAAAGCAGGGCTTTATGAACATCACCTTACCCACATACTCAGGTGTGCCAAGTATCTCTCGGAGCTCTCCGACCGCGCCCAGTCTGCGTGCCAGGCCGAAGTCTACGATCTTTATGTCTCCTGGAGGAGACAGGCTGGTCAGGAGGATGTTCTGCGGCTGAGAGGGAAACACGAGGTGAACATCACGCAGAGAGCACAAGCACTGGAAAGATAAGACGTGCTGTACTTTAAACTCTAAACTTATTACATAACTGGAGTCCTCTTGGAACACCTATTCAATAACGAGACGCGTTTACTTTTCTGTAGCATCATTATTGGTTTAAGTGCTGGAAATATACTGGCCATATGACACTGTGTCAACACTACTATTGTTTCATTATTGCATCATTCTCAAGAGAAGTTGAGAACGTACAGTACGTTACTCGTTCTGTTTACACCAAACACACCGATCTATTTGGTGGTTTTGAAGCCGATCAGCATCTGCTGACAACTAATGTTAAATTCAAATTTCACTGGAAAAATTGTGGGTGTCTTAAACTTGCAGATCCACCTTTACCTTAGGCCTGGTAACAAACCCTTGTTTCAATGTTGCAGCACTGTAAAAATCACTTGTTCTACCAGTGCTTTCTCACTTTGCCCTGTTGCCAGCTCTAACCCGTCTTAACTGTGCCATGAAGATAGGAAATTGGGGTTTTGAATCCACAAAAAGGGAATACGCAGTCGAGCACTTGAGGGGGAAGTTTGCGGCGAAGCGAGTGAGCGTGTAAAAATAGTTTCCCTCGTCTCCAGCTACACTCATGCCTGTAATTTTCTGCATGTGAGTGTGTGTATGTGTGTGTGCAGACCTTGAGGTCCAGGTGCACCAGGTTGCTCTGGTGGAGGTGGTGGACTCCCTCCAGTGTTTGCCTGATCAGACGGGTGATCTGGGCCTCCGGCAGCAGCTCCTCAGACATGCAGTGGTCAAATATCTCTCCACCGGCCGCACTGGGCAAAGAGGAAACGCACCGTAAATACCAGGCACTGTTCATGAAACGCTCGTCTACTAAGAGGTCCACAGAGAGTAAGATACCCGGCAGTTTTGTGACATTTGAAGCAGTTTATTTGTGATTCACATTCAACGCTAGAAACAGAAATATAGTGTATTGGTGGTTTTAGTGGCCCACCCACAGCCAGAGGGCCTCTGGTCTGATCCTATAAGTGATATTGAGCAAGAAAGCAGCCTTCCTTCCTGCTCGCTCGCTGTAAAGCACTGCAGCTAAGAGCATCAGCCAAAGTTGACACAAAGCCCTAAAATGGTGGTGCAGAGTACAAAGTTCACCTGATTTCATTACATTTCAGGTTGTTTTGAGCTGTCCAGGCTGTCTTAGATCACCAAAGTGAGTTGTGCAAGCTGTCCTAAAGCGTCTCTGACAACAAGTATGTAACTGTGGTCAACTGTGCATTCTTATTTCCATTCTGCCTCTCACATCCAGTTTCTGTTTCGGTGTCCATGCAGTTCATCTAGATCTGGAGTTTCAGATCTAGTTTCAGATCTAGATGTACAGTAATATAGCCTACAAGCCTGATAAACCGGTTGGACAACGAGCATTACATAAAAAAAAACAGAGTGTCTCAGCTCCTTAACATTGGACAAACAGGACTTTGCCCGTATGCAGGCATCTACAGGATCCCTCTGCTGTTTGTGGTAGAAACATTGAGCCGGTGTTAGACAGATCGTTAAACATGGCGTCCCAACATGTGCCACTGGCTCTGTTGTGAACTCACTACTCCAGCAGCAGGACGATGTCGTGATCCGTCTCGTACGCAGTGTGCAGGTTGACCACTCGGGAGTTGTTGCGGGCCGTCTCCAGGATGGCCATCTCGTGAATGACCTCTGCCCGGCAGTCGCGACCTCGCCTCCTCTTCCGCAGGAACTTGGCGGCGAACACTTTCCCCGTGGCCTTCTCCACGCAGCGCCGGACCACGGCAAACTTCCCCCTGGGGAGCACAAAGTGGACATGTAACGTAAAGGCAGCCTTGAGGACATTCTGTTGCACATTTACTACATTTTACTGTTTTATAATGTTACAACAGGTTCCCACAATACTTTCTAAATAAAACAATACATTAGATTAATCATTTGTAAATGATTGCAGCATTGGGACAGTGGTGCCATCAATAGATTACATCTTGGTTTGATCATTGGGGTAATTGTTCATGTTACTCAATGCTGGGAGGATAGTGGCTACCTGCTACTACATGCATGAACCCAGACTCATCATGGCAACAATCCAACACTACAGAATGATTGGAAACAAGCAGTGCTAATATGGGTGTTCATCACACATAATATTCATTTGGGTCTGTTGGTTTTAAAAGGGAGACATCATGGAAAACTAACTTTTTCCTTTTGGTATCTGGAGTGCCTCTTGACCCTCAAACTGTGAAATCAGATTAGATGTGATTCAACAAGCCATTCGGATCCTTTTCCACATGCAGGCTCATTACAATATACCGGCCACGGCTCGAGAACTACCGTGGCAAAGGTGCACCACGTTTTTTGGGCTTAAAGATACAGGCGCTAAAATGGAGCGTTCCAGACTGAGCGTGAATACAGGTATGTTCACACAGACTGTAAGAGGAAAATAATGTTTTGATGAACGCTAAAGTATGTAAACATGTTCTAGCAGAAACCCAAAATACAAGCATGAACCTGACAATGAGCACAATATCTCCCCTTTAACTTTATCTCCTAAGATACGCCTAAACAAGAAGGCCGGCAAAATGATTAACTCTCAGAATGTCCTGAGAACTAGACCTACCTTTCCCTCTCTGAAACAACAACAACATTTGGCTGATATTTAATTCAATTAGCGGAAGCACTTCTACACAAGGCCTTGCGATGACCGCGACAAAAGAAGAAAACTATTTAAATCCAAAATGAACTGCGAAGGTTTCAGACCCAGAAGGACGACTCTGAAATAGAAGAACAATGGCGCTAAACTGTCCTACTTCGTAGCACCGCCTATCACTGGCATTAGTCATGTATTGTCAGTCTTAGCATTAGAGACACGGCATGAAGCATTATTCTTCACTTTTAACTGTAATGTTATTAAAGGAGCATTCCACAAATTCAGTATTACATTTCAGCAAACTTGTGGGACTTGAGCGAGACACATTATATTTTAAATATAATCTAAGCAGCAGAGGCCGATATATTCTTATAGACTATAATATAAGTAAAGCTAAAAAAAAAAAGAAAATCCTATAATTCCCATGATGCAACTCAGTGGTTCTTCTTTAGATCCTCCTTAAAAGGGCCGCACCTTTAAACTGCTGTTAATCACTCTGTAGTCTTGAGGCACCGATGATGTCATCAGGGGGATGATCTCTTGACAGAGCTCACTAACTGATTCAATTACATGCTGAATAACAAAAGGTAAAGTCATCTTCAAAATTGATAGATTGCTATAATCAACTTTTGGCTACCAGGGGGAAACACATTTAAAAGAAGGTGACACACACAGCCACCATTGGCTAACATCTGACCTCACAAACAATAGAAACATCAGCTGTGTTTCTGGCCTCCTGATGCATGTCCACTACTCACACTAGTAGCTCTGGTTTGGTCTACACCAAACATTTCTGACTCTTTAGCTTGCTAACTGCTATGCTAACCAGCTAGCTGCTAACTTTGTCTGTGGGTTGATGCTGGGCAGGTAACAGACTTGTTGTTACTGATGACAACAAACACAACTGGAAGGTGCAGCCTGATAAAGAAATAGGGAAACACCGTGAGGCAGAAACCTCCCACTGTGAAAAGTCAGTGTAATTTCAGACTACGTTGTACCAACGCTGTGAATAACTACACATGCCTTAAAAAGGTCAAAAGTAGAACCAGAAATTGCCCTCATCATGTTCTCTAAAGTGTTGCACCTCAGAACTTCCTGTTATGGCTAATGGCACACACACAATAAGTGAACAGAAGTGGTCGGTACCATTTCTCCTTTCTAACAGTGCGGTGCTCGTTTCCTTCCTCCTATTTTGAAATGAGAATTATACGGTACATGCTGCATGACACATCACTTCAAACACACCTCAGAGATCTCAGGATGTATGATCATCGACCGTCAGCCGTTGCCATGGCGCACACACACACACACAAACAAACACATGACAAAGGTAGCACGGACCAGTCAGGTCCCTCTGGCACCGCCTGGCTCCAGTATTTACAGTGGTGACAGATTACAGTACAGAGTCCAAGTGCAGTGAAAAGTATTCATGTTTGCAAATAGAGAAATGAGACAATGCAGACTGGTTAGATAAAGGACAGGTTGAGGAGATTTGTGGCAGTTATTAGGTTTTCAGTCTCATGTTTAGTGTAGTCTGAATCTGTGGTGACAATGTAACGACAGTTTACTGACCCAGTTTAGTCTCAACAACACAGAAAGTGTCATGTGCACCTATGTAACAATACAATGTATGGTACTGGCACAAGTATTGAATACACAAGTATCAAGATTAGACTACATCATATTACCTAACGTAAACTCTGAGATGAATATGATGGACATGTATGACACAGTCCGGGGCTCTCCTTGCTGCTGCATTGATAAGGCTTCCTGTATCATTGTCAGTCAGTAGTTGCCTAACTGTAACGTGTTATTCATTTGTAAAGTGTGGTCTAGACTGTGCTTATGAGCTATCATAACAGTAAATTGTGTACCATCTTGCCCGTCCGGGTAGACACGTCATATCCACACCAATATTCAATATTGAATTGACTATTAACAATCGAGACTCATTTTAAATGCTAATTGTACAATTGATATATATCCCGGCTCTATGTAATCCTAGTAGAATAGTGCACAACAGAACTACTTGTGTCGTTCCTGCAGACCGCATACTGCTGAAGAGAGCCCCCCTGTCTCTCTGTTGTCCCGGGACAACGGTCACATCAGTTGGACTCACCTCCCGAGCTCTCCGGTGATATCGTACACGCTCTCCATCGGCTCCGTGCTGATTGGGGTCTGACTTTCCCCGAGCAGCCCCGCAGCGAGCCCGCTGCGACTGTCCAGCCGCCTCCGAGACATCTTCCTCTCCCGTGGGTAACTTACTGGTATCGGTCCCGCTGCCAGCTACCCAGCTGGTACTACTGCTGAACGCCGAGTAATATGAGAGACGAACGACGAAACTAACCCAAGTGTCTGTCTAACGTTTACACTGCCGGCTTCACGTTAGTTACATGTTAATGTTAACCAAGCCGGTTACCGTGCTACTGTTTAGTTTACGGTTAACGTTACCGACTCCGGTTAGCTTAACTGTCGCTAACTAAGTTAGCTCGATGGTCAATGTCGCGGGTTCAGAAGCGAGTTAAACCGATTTCCCAAATTTCAGCTGAAGAGGAGCGGTTAGTCTTTAAAACGTCTACCTACGGCTGGTTCCAGTGGTCCGCTTATCCAAACTACCGCAGTGGGCCACTATGAAATAGCTTAGTAAGTTTATCTAGAGAGTTTTCGATCATTTTCTTTTTTTACATCCTTCTGTTTGACACTTTGTCGACACGTCACGGCTTGGCGCATGCGCAGTACTGTTGCGTTTGAAAAAAGGGAGGTCGAGTTGATTTGAAACGTGAATACAGTTGATGTGTGTGAACTGTAATCATTTACTCCCACTTGGGCTCCATCTGTCCACTGGGCATGTACATTTTTTACATCTGGCAAAGCATCTGCAGGGCACTAGGAGCCTCATATCTAACCCATAAAGACTAATACTAATGTTATGTATAGGGATATCATTTGGTATTTGTCCCCATATTGTCTTAAAAATGATTATATTTAGGTTCACCATTATAATGTACTTTAAAGATAATACATTTAGTAATTTCACTCATTCAATTGGTACAAAACTCTTGTAAAAGATAAATAAGAGTCATGTATCATTAATCAAAATTTGCCATTTGTTCTCTTTTATTACAATCATCGGGGTGAAATGGAGACACACACAAACAGGAGCTTTGCATAGAGTGGAATTTTGAAAACCGGAGACGTGTCCTGTCAGAAATGTACTCGGAGAGACAAGAGGTGCAAGTGCCTTCATCTGGATGTGAAGCAGGTGATCAGTCTTACCAGTCTTCTGCAGCAGAAAAGCCTCATTATGGAACCGGGTGAACGTACATCCCATCACGTGAAGCGTTGTTGCCCATGCCACAAATCTGATGAGGTGATGGTCTGTAAGGATTAGGCGGGAGCCAGAAGTGGGATGTGTTTTTGTTAGACAGAGATAGAGAGCAGGCCTAATGGTTGACTTTGCAAGCCCCAAACCTTTGGTACATTCGGTGCAAAATATATATTTATACACACAACAGGACGGACATACATATACATTTATATACAAAGAGACAAACGGGACCGCACACATGGTACACGAACATGTGCTCTCACATTTCACGAAATCAAAACAGCCCTATTGATTCATCACCGATTCATGAGCGACGAACCATGACCACCGACCTATTACTAAGATAGGCAGACACGCACATGTGAAAGTAACAACACCTTAGAAACATGCTGCCGAGACACTCGCCGTTACACTGTCATAAAGTAAAAACAAACTATTGCATTCGCGTGTCATTCCTGGAGCTAAAACTAAGTGACTGGAGCACCTGTATTTCCCACGCCTTGCTCCCATGAGCATGGCGCTCAAGGTATGACAGTGCCAGGTGAGTATAAGGTCGCAAGCCTCGAGTGAGCGACCAAACGGACGACCAAAGTTACACAACTTAACCAGCTCCCTCGCCCCCTTTTTTCTGAATGGATAGCAATATCCTCATGCAAAAAAAGCTAGTAAGGACAGTGTGTTGCACTATTTCAGCATGCAATATCGAGCTATAACACAACGCCATCTAGGGGTTTCTGCCTCGGCACGGCTCACAGAGCTGACCGGGAAGATCCCGCATGCATTGGACTGGGTACGAGGGGTTGGTGGTGGTGGTGGTGGTGGTGGTGGTGGGGCTGGGGTACGACAGTCTGCCTCCACATCTCGCTTCACATGTGGGGCCCTCTGGCTCTATTCCAGCCCCGCCCCCCCTGTGGTTTGGCTCCAACAGGACTCTGTACAGTAGGTGTAGTCTTGCATGCACCCCATACAAAACGAGTATGCGTGTGTATTTGTGTGCATGTAAGAAAGTGTGTGAGACTGGGTGTCGTGTTGGAGCGGGGGGGGGGGGGGGCGGGGTCAGGTCGGGTCGTGCGTTTGAGAGTTAGAGAAATTTAATCACATGCTTATAAGACAAAACTATTGCCTGACATGGACTTGAATGCCAAAAGTTCTGAAGTATAATATATCCACACAGCCTTGAAGGCTGGTGCTTGTTCCCCATCAACATCGCACCTGGTCCGGTCATTCAGAAAGGAGGGAACCACTGGTTCTTTTCTCTGAAGGTGCCGTAGTAACGACAGCACACTTTACCGCCCCCTTGTGTTGTTATCTGCTTTGGGAATTTAAAACCACCTTAAGTTTCACCATCTTTGATTTGTGAGACCCATGGATCTGGTCTTTTTCTTCTTCTTTCTTTTACAAGGAAATAAAATAGCTTTCCTTGAGAAATTTCACTTTATGGTCAGGAAAACCCAAGAGGCACTAAAAAAGGTCCCACCACTGCATCCTGACCAGGTTCCTGGGGTGACACCCAGCTACTGTCTTTCAGCTACGAAGGCCTAATCCGGTGCCAACATCAGAGAGAAGTCGTCGTCCTTCCTCGAGCACCACCTTAGATTTCCTTTCCCTCCACTTTGTGTTTCGTAAAATCCTCCTCAGGGGCTGAACACAGTTGCTCGAGGTTCATACATTCAGTCACTTATTTGGTACATTCATCCCTTTTCATAGGTTGGGTAGGTGGGTGGGATCTCATCAGTGAGAAGGACCTTGTCATACTTATGAGCGGCCGTCATCTGTCTGTGAGAGAAAGTGCATCTGTTGCTCGTGACGACTGTGTGGAACAGTTTTGTCAGACAGGAAGCCTGCACTTCTATCCCACGGAAGTGTGTCAGTAAATGTATCTTGCACAGCGGAGCGAGTGCGTCTGTTACACTGTAAGAAAGTGACACCGCAGCATCGCGGCTAATGCTGCAATACTGTGTGCACTATTTGTGTGTGTGTGTGATACTGGATACCTTGGTGAGTATATGCAGAAACAGAGCCGCATGTCTCAGGTGTGTCTTCGCCTTCCGTGCCCATGTTAGAGCTCTGATGACTCAGTAGTTGGGGGTAAAAGTCCTGACCAGAGCCTGCCGTCATTATCGTGACACAGTCCATAGGTGTCACTGATGATTTGTGACCCGTTGTCCAGCTTATTCAGCAATCGATGAAACGATGAAAAACAAGTGTATTTTCAGTCTACATACAATTTGTGTATGTTTATCTGCGTGTGTGTCTTCGTGCACTCCAGTGTATCCCCAACTCTCAGACAGGCAAGGAGGACCAGCCAACATCCAGTTCTAAAATGTCACATCTTTCTATGCTGATAAAAAAAATCTTGGGGGAAACACTGGTTTGCAACATTAATAAAAACAAAATGTCTTATGTTGTGTGTGTTTTGTGCAAAGGTGATTAGCGTGTGTGTATTAAAGTTCCTATAAGGTTGCAGCCTCGGTGCAGAAAGGACACAGTTTTGAGGTCCGGAGAGGGAGAGGGGAGCTTAGTGTTGTTTTTTGGAGCAGCTGTCTTGGAGGTGCAGGTTGGAGGAGGAAGAGGAGGTGCTAGAAATCCAGTAAACAAGCCCATTAACTGAAGAGATAAAGCACACATGTGGCTCAATGAACAAATGTTACCATGAAAACAATATATTGTACTGTACAGCTTTTCAAACCATTCTCCGATTGTCCGCCTGTCCTCCAGAAGGTGTCCACTTGACTGACTTCTATGAGATATGTGAGAGAGAGAGGCGGAGGATCGGAACACAGCCTGAGAGCTGCTGAGTGAAGAAAAAGCCAGTTGGGGAAAAAAATAAATAATAATCAGCTGAGTTGTCAGGGGGGGGGGAGGGGTTAGTTGCCATTTGAGGATATTAGTTTTAGTTTCCATGTCTCTTCTCAGGGAGAATGGTGGATTTCCAGATGGTTCTCCCTCCCGAGTTAAACCTGCGTGTGAGCTGATTTGAGGTCACTCCAAACCGAACGTGCTCGTTTCCTCGACAGCAGTGACCAGCTTCTCGTAGAGCATGGAGAAGGAGGGGTAAGGTGGGAGGTCCAGACGATTAAAGCAAGTGTGAGCCCTATGGAGACACACACACACAAGAAAAGATGATCAGATAGATGTATAATATATTATGAATATATATAAATCATAAATAGTATTTTGTATATATAGGGCGTAACTGTAGAACGTTTAAACCTCCTGTAATATCTTTTTTGAATGAATACGCCTATATAAAATGTAATTTCACTAATTCTCCACAGATAGGAACCTGGATGAATGATATAAGGCCTAATATGCTTTTTCCCCTTTTAAATAAAGAAGTAAATTAAAAAGATAAATAGTCAAAATAAAAGTGGTTTAAATGGATCACCTGTGCCTTTAAGCTAGCAGGGCCGTGCTGATATACTGTGTTCATCAGGTTTGGTAAGGGACCATACACAAACTATTGCAATGACGAGGGGGCTAAATCTGTGCTAGGTCGATTATATATATTTTTGCTGAAGCGAGGTTGGGCGTTTTATCTTTTTTCCTCACCCCATATTTATATCTTCATATCAGCCTACCCTTGCAAGAATAAAATATTAAAGATTTTTACAATAGTCACCAATGACATAGTACAAGTGTAATTAGCAATTGCCAAATCTGGCAATTACACCAGCTGACTGACTTAACCAGAACAAATAATAGAAAGAGAATAGAAAATATATCAGACAATGCCTTTAATGTACGAGAGCAGACATCTGGATTGTATGAGGCTTCATACAAAATGTAATGATAAACTAAGTGTGAGAGAACGTTGAATCACTTAGATCCATAAAGGTTCAGTGTGAGTCTTAAAATTGACTTATTGGTCCCACTAGTTTTTGATTCCATCCATTTTCGTCTGCTTATCCAACGTCTTCCAGGCATCCCTCTCCCCAGCAACGTTTTCCAGGTCTTCCTATATTCAATATTAAATTTAGCAGGGGAAGGCCGATGTAAAATACAAATAGTGAGAAAAAGAAAAGTAAAAGGCCCGACCTCCCTTCAGAAAAAAGAAAATAAATACAGCACCCTCCACCTTTTGCAAAGTGAGTCATTTTCTGTACACATTCATCCCATTAAAGACATCCTACCTGGGTAAGGAGGTGATTTTCCCCCACTTCTCCACACAGAATCTGCGGGGTCCATTACTGCCCCGGAGAGAGGCGAATCCCTCATAGGGAATGCTGGAGGTGCCTGTCACAAACTAGAGAGAAGAGGGCCACACTCGTCACACAATGTATGAATTATTATTTACAGTGTGACTCTGACTGTATCTATGGCTGCGTGACTCAAAATGTATGTAAATTAGTCTTTTTAGTTTTAACTGAGAATTGAACTGAGGCTTCAAGAAAAACAGAAAAATGCATGTTGTATAATCCAGTTACATATCAACTGGATGAAAGTAACGTCCTCCTGCAGCCTCAAGTGCATTATCCAGCTAAAGGCTAAACCCCCATCATGCACTGGTACATCTGTTGCATGGTCAACAAGACTCTGCAGCGCCTGCAGGGCCCCCGGCCTCCACACGGGGGCAGCCCCAAGTGCTTTCGGTCACCCACGTGCTGTACCTGCAGTAGTCTCAGCCTCTGCTCATTGTTGAACCTCTCCACAGCTGCCCAGAACCAGCGAATCACTATGTGGTTGTCATGGTAACCTGGGGGGGGGGGGGGAGAGAGATAGACGATGATGGTGCATGAGTCAGATGAATAACAAATAAGGCTTCTCGTCCCCTGTTCCTCACTCCCCCGTCCTCCTTCCATCTCTCTACTTCCCCTCTGTGATTTTGGAACGGGCGCCGTTGTTTTAATGTTTAATGGCCGGAGCTGTTTGGTCCGTCTCAGTCGATTCCTCTATTAAAAGATCCTCACACTGAGTCATGGCCGATTGTCGGTTTGAGCTCTCTTGTCTCTCGGCTGCTGGCGGCTTCTCAACTGTATTGGCCAGACCCTTAAAAAGCCTTTTAATGTGATCTCTTGTAAATGGTTTGGACACTGGCGCTTGCATCCTTGTGCTGTACACAATATGAATCACAATAATGAAATAGCAATAACTCCACCAAGCATCCAAGTGCTCATTATACAGTGCATTACAGTTAATATCAACAACCTCATACAGTTGTTGAATAGCTAATGGGAATATTTATCAAACTCAAGAATCACTATTTATTGTATAGTGAGTGGTTAATGTGAGAGCAGCAAACATTACAGGGATTTATACAATATTTTACCTTTTTAGATGAACAGAAAAAAGATTTGAATGAATTTAAATCAATATTAAAAAATTATAAAATTAAACTAAAAATAACATAGTTGTTCTACCTGATCAGATACCAGCATCAGAAACATCTAAACTTTCCTTACGCCACATTAAGGACTATATGTTGTCGATATGTTGCAGTAAGTTACTCCTCATGTCCACTGGAATATACGTATCTCCTATATAATATATAGTAATAAAAGGAAACTCCTAGCATTCCTTCTACTGACTCACAGGAAGCAGCTTTGCGGGGTATGCTGGTGGCTGAGGTTAAGAGGTGCAGAGGTATACCAGGGTTTGAATTACAGGGGGTATGGGGGGGAGGGTTCTGACCCCCCTAAGACTTGGACACCCCCAAAAGAGGTCAAAACAACACGTCGGAGGGTTTCGAAACACTAAACTATCCTTCTTACCTTTAATCGTACTGAAATATTACAATATATTTCCCATATTCATGTCAGACACCCCTAAAGTGGGCCAAACCATTTGACGTGAGTGGGCCTGCCTCACTTCCATCACTGCAGTGGCTTGGGCCTCTGCAGTAGGTAGGTTAATGTAAGTAGCTGGCTATCTCGCTAGTTTAATACACTTAACTAGATTTCCTTCAGAGTTTATGACTTGTGTCAAGTGTGTTGTGACCCCTGACTGCAAAAGTTGCTGTGTGGTACGAGCTCTATAAACTAGTGTAATAGATTTGATTCATCATCATCCACAGGCT